CCTAAATTGGCCTAGTCATCTCTGAGAAACCGCTCCGGACATGTAAAAAATGACGATTTAATGCTTTTACAGGAAATTTGGGCGTCGGTCAGCCACATTGAATCGAATTGCGCCTTCTGTAGGCCCCCTCTTGCAACAACCACTCCCATACACCGCTGTAGGCCGCGAATTGGCGGACCCATAGCCCAGACCAGGCCGCGAACGTCCACCTAAACTTTCCCACCGGGACATTCCCGCTACTTCCAACACGAACATACGGAGGCTTATTGTAATCAAAGAAATGAAACAAAACGAAACGAAACGGGATAACACACATAATATAAATTAAACTGTATTCAGTGACAATGGGTTTTACACGCACAATATTTACAAAATTTTGCTGAAAATAATATTTAAGCAATAAACCAACTCCGCGGCTGAAGACGAAACTTGACCAGTATTTTTATTTATTTATTTGTAATTAGGAGCTGCAATAGAATTATTGGAAAAATACTGTATATACACATACTATAAAATGAAAAAAGAAACTTTTGAGCTTAAAGTAAATACAGCAAATAAATCTAATCTACATAATCTCTTGTATAATCCATGACATCAATAAGAAATCTTTTCACAATTTCATCAATATATTTACCTTTCAGTCGTGTATTTAACACCCTAAAACATTTGCCGAAAACAACGGGATTTTAATTAGTAAACGATAATCGGAAATCGGCAATCACGCAGCGAAACAAGGGTCTTACAGGTACAATAATCACAACTATCGGACGAAACTTGAGCAGTATTTTTACCTTTCAGTCGAGTATAAAACTTTTATAAATTATTTATAATTGGCGAAACGAACCATTCACTAATTAAAATACCGTTATTTTCGACAAATGTTTCATGGTGTTAAATACACAATGGAAAGGTAAATATACTGGTCAAGTGTCGTCTGACAGTTGTGAATATTGTACGTGTCAGACCCATGTTTCGCTGATTACAGATTTTCGATTATCTGTAATTAGCGAAACGAGTCATATGCGTATTAAATATTATTATTTTCAGCAAATATTTTGTGAATATTGTGCGTATAAAACCCATTTTCACTGATTACAGTATAATTTTCATTATGTGTGTTATCCCGTTTCGTCGATTACAATAAACCGCATACAAAAAGTCATCCCCCCAGAGTCATTCACACTTCCATCTGCCTCGGCCTCATTCGCATTCAGCTCCTGCTTTTTTCTGGGTTTTCTGTCCTGCATTCATGCCAAAGTCACTCGGAGCTGAACATAAAATTGCGTAATGGTATCTGATGGAATAAGAATCCTGGCAAAGTTGTGAATGTTCTCAATATATGCCTGAAATAGGGGGTGTTTTTTTCCTTCAATATGTCTGCTTTAGGGGGTACTAAATTTACATTGCGTCCACAATAGGGGGTAGGGTTTGTCAATGTGCTGCCAGCCCCAGGGGCCTATTATTTTTTAGCAAGAACGCACATGGTGTAAGGTTTTAATATTGAGTGACCCCCCGGGCACACACCTGACAGAACTTAGTTTTTCAACCCTGACGATTTTTGTTGATACCAATCAAATTGCAGGAACGTCAAATAGTGACAGCCATCAAAGAGTAATCATTCATAGCAGAGTTTATTTCTGCCCAATGTTTATCATCCTGTTGAAAAGAATCTTTGATTTTTGCCAACAATGCAAACATGGCTTTGACGGTGTTACCATGACCACCAAAATGAATATTCAAAGAAACTCATTGCAAGAAGGAGTGAATTTTGCAAATTTGCAGTATTGATCTTGCCAACGAAACATACACTATTCTGTCAGGCGTTAGTGTGGCCTGATGCCGTTCGGCCGGTGAGGGCGCTACTCATGCCTCCATGTCAGGCTACTTGAGCCGAGCATTGCATAAAATATTGATATTGTTCAATTTCTTTTTATTTAAAAGACTCTAAATTGTAAACATGTTTCAATTAAATGAAAAAAAGTGTGTATTGCAGTTTGTGACATAAATGTTAGAATGTCAATGAAATGCAAATTAATATGCAAATGTATGCTAATTAGGTCGCCCTACAACTATTTTGGATTGTGGCGAATACTGATAATTTAAAGGGTGTTCAACTTGGATAGTATACTAATTGAATATCCGACATGTACACAGTAAATTTTAATCAATGAACTTCAGTGAGTTCCGAGGTAGTCGAGTTACACATATATTTAGTCAAGATTACTTGTTAGAGTTTCAAGGCAAATTAAAAAGCCTAATCTCACAGAAAATATAACCATGGAACTATAAACACCAGAAGAACAACGAAACAAAGAGGATTAATAAAACCTTTGTCTTAGTTTATCTTACAGTGCTTTCGCTTTTGTTTCCACAACATTAGTCATACTCCATGTTAGTTGCCGCCGATACGCCCGTATCAACCGCTTTGCTGGAAACGGAAAACTTGAAAACAAAATTTCATATCTGCGCAGTAAAATATTTCGTTCACTACGCATGCGCAAACAAGTCGGTCTGCAGGGTGACCTTCATTGTACCGGAAATCATGCATCGGGTCGAAGTTTTAGCGAGTTTTCATAATTTTCAATGTCGTTTTTAAATTACTTATTGTTTTTTTCAACCCTCGAAAAAATAAGGTTGCGAAAGTTTGCGAAGCATGGGGTTTGGTATGCCGTTTGTTGTCGACATATCCCGACTTATTCCGTGTTTCCCTTCGATCGCCAGAAGTGGCAATGTGTTTTTTTTTTCCCCGTTGAATGTCGCTCATTTATCAGTGTTTTTGTCTTGGCGCCATTGTTTTTTTATGCTATAACCGAAATAACTCGATCACGTGATCTCCCGAAGTCGCCCGATTGACTCCGAAAATGACCGATAGTTGGAGATAAACGTTCATTTGCGTAAATCGGCTTATTTTTTAATGCGACGAAATAAACAGTCAAAATAAACATTTGACATCGCGGCAACTATCATAGTTCAAAGGAAACAAAGTGGTTGTTCTTCCTGGGGTTTATAGTTCCATGATATAACCAATAAACTAAAATTATACAAAGGGAAACAAACTATATATACAAATATGAACAACATTATTATGGTTGTCCATGACTTTACTGTGTTTATTCTTGATTTCAAAATCAACCATGACAAAGATGTAACTTTATTTTACGATTACTATTTTCACGACGAAAAATTAAATGACCCAGGACTATTATTATATTTCCCTAAATAACAAAATACACATTTTAAATTAAACATGGATTATGGAGAGTGCAATTGCTCGCATTAGACATACGGTAACCATCATTTCTCGACGAAACAACGTGACCTTTGATTCAATTTATGAAACACAACAAAATACAACTAAATATCATGCGACCATTTTGATTTGATTCGAATTCTTAAAAGAGTACTGTAACACGATTTACCCTAAAATTCCTCCCAGATAAGTATACAATACCATTCCTTCAGTGATTAAAATGCCACATACTCACCAACGATCGCCTAAAAATGAAAATATAACCAGTTGTCACCTAAAAAGGGAGCACAGATTGCGAACAATAATGACCGCCACTATTTCAAACGATGGTACACCGACCAATCAAAAGCCAAGAACATGTCATGTGACTATAGTTTAGTGCGCCCTCATTGATGACCCTTTGAAATACATGTCGAAGGTCACTTGTGAACATGTGGAGTGTTGATGTTTGTCTTCGTGTTTTGAAGAGAGTATGCAGCATGGGGATACGTTACATACAGAATTAAGGAAGTCTTTCAGAATTGTCGAGTTGCAGGAGAAGAAATGGAAAGAAACAATAGAAGCATCGCTGGAATCGTTGAAATCCTTGAGCAACTTATGTGAACAGTTGAGAAGTTGTCAACAAGTCAAGTTAGAAATTACTCCCATGAAGAACTTCACTGACTTGAAGGAAAGGCTCCAATATAAACTAACCATTTCCATGGAAATTGTTATGGAAAAACTGCGCGATAGGCTGTGAGTTGAGCAAGAACACACTTTTTAAATATGTCCACCATATCCAAGTCCATTACGCAAAATTATATTTCATATTATATTAATCTGATAACCTATTCTATTCTATTCTATAGTTAATTACTTTTTTATATACATTTTCTTTTTCAGGGAAATATTATCTGAAGTCCACAAACAAATTGATAAACAGTACTTACGATGTATGGAGCTTTACCAAAGACAAGCATCGAACATTGGCATTGACAGATCTGTTGAGAGATCCTCAACTGAACCATCAATAGCCGACATGTTGGAATGGTTACATGATATTAACCGAAGTATAACACAACAGTATCCTTGAATTTCAAAGAATTATCAGAACGCAGAAAGTGTGTTTTTGTGTCGTATACAACAAGAGTAATTTGAATTCTGAGGATTCCAAACATAATTAAATAGTAAACTGGACTGTGTTCAATATGGGTGCCATAATTCATATACTAATTCTAGTTCTAGTTCTTAAGCTGGATTATTTTATTATATGAGAATTTTGTTTCAGTAAAAACACCCGACAGTTGCCTATACAGAGATACCTACATTATACAAGTGGCTCAATTAAACATAGGACATGATCAGCCAAATATTCTTGTTATATTCACTAAAATCCAGCACAAATGAATGACGCATTACTCAACTCTCAGTCTTGCCCTTAAAAAAAAAATATTCTCTTCACCACATGCAAATGTTTTATTCTAAGAAAAGAATATTTTTCCCTCAAAAGCTAACCAGAAATTTAACAATTTAATTTTTGTGTTTCATCTTGTAAAATTTATAAATCTTCACTGTTGTGTCTTACAAATAAAGTTCTTTCCTTAATTATCACAAGATACAGCAAACGTAAATTTTTATTAGATTTTATTCAGTATGAGAATCTGGAATATGTACAGAATCTGTCAATGGAATGGGAGAAGTCTGGCACTATGCATGATCAGATTGGTAGTAAGTATCTGGACAAACATGTTGGGGTTGACAGAACGGAAGCAGGGCTTACCAGTATACAGGGTAATAAGGCCAGATATGCCAGTCTGCCATTTTCGATTTGATCTGAAAAATTATGTGCATTAACAACCCATCTTGTTCAATGGACGTGCCAACTTGATAAATGAAATAAGGCTATGCATGACTAAGATTTGGTCATCTTGAATTTGATCATAAATCAAATGTGCTTATGTATGTGTAAAGTTTGAATGTGATTGGTCAAAGCATGTCAGAGATACAGGTGTTGACGCACATATGTAGATGAAATTACAAGTCATTGATCTTGGACAATGACTACTAAAGAGGTCATAGACCTTTTTAAAAATTGTAGTTTTCTAATGAAAACTCCTGTATAACCTTTAATGTTTCGAGATTGTGGCTTCAAGTACGTTGCATTGATTCACTATGATACCACTCCGAGTGTATCTGCTTACCATAGTTTATTGACATTTTTTTTTTCAACCTGTAGGTGCACTGGCTCATGTAACCTTCTTCATGGCAGAATATTCAATCAGCTGATTCAGAAAAAACAAAATACTCAGTTTATTATTTTTTTCAATTTAATGTATCAAGTATTTATTAAAACAGAATAGTTGTTACAATCTGATGTGTTGATGTACAGTTCATTGCAGTAAGTATTGTAAAATCTGTATTAGAAGCTGTGTGTTGAAGTACAGTCAACAAATGAAAAATGGTCAAGCATGGTATTGGTATACACGTCCTGCAGTGAGATCAAACACGACACATAATTTCTTCTGCCAACTTAAAGTGAAAGTTAAGGCTAATAACATAATACTCCTCGATGGAAGAGCTCGGCAAATGTAAGAACATGCAATTTACAGTTTTTTTTTATCACTTCTCATTCTCTAGATATTCAATTTTTCATCAATTTATGTAGACCGCCATCTTGATTCTTCAGCAAAGGATTATGGGTAAAGTATGACATCATAGTCTGTTGTCAGAAATTGAGAAAATCATTTCATCTATACTTCAAAAGTTGAACTTCATATTGGCTGAAAGTTTAGAACAGGGTAGCATACATGTACTGTTGTCAAACATGCTTATAAAAAAGTTGTCATGGAAACAGAACTGAAAATATTTATTTTTATGTTTTTCTACCAAATGCTAAAATTTCCTTATATTATATACAATTTACCGGTGTGAGTAGGTTATATAGGTGATATATTACTTGTTGACCATAAAAAGTGGACAAAAAAGTGTCATTCTATTTTTCACAACGAAAATAAAGATTTTTATTTTTTTTAACATTTTTGGCAATATCTTCATTTTATGTGTATTTGTAACATTCTAATTACATTACTATAATCATATACAAGAGTAATATGCATAATGAAAATTTGAACTAATTTGCATCAGTATTTCCCATGTTATAGATGAAATCATTTTCTGACAACAGACTATGATGTCATACTTTATCCATGATCCTTTGCTTGAGAATCAAGATGGCCGACTACATAATACTGATGAAATGTTGAATATCTAGAGAATGAAAAGTGATATAAAAAAACTGTAAATTGCATTCTCCTATATTTGTGGAGCTTTTTCTTGGGGGGTCATTGTGTTGTTTTGCTTGACTTCCCCTTTAAATTAGTTTTGTATTGTATTTTGTATTAGAAGCCGCGGCTTCTATTAAAATAGTATAATGCAACCCAGCTTCTATAAGAGCATCTACACATATGAGAAATAATGAATTTTTTATTCTTAATTATTCAAAAAGAATGGGTACGATTTCTATTAGGGACGCGGCTTCTAATACAGATTTTACGATAAACTCCATACTAGCAATAACTTATTTATAAATTGGGAAGACATTTCAAATTGTAAACCCCCCATACACCTGACTGCAACATTTAATTTTTCAAATCGATGTGAAGCTATTTACAAGATTCTGTCGGATTGGCTAACACCCAACAATCAGAAAGCAGCACGTTTGTACATAACAAATTCTGCTTTGTATACAGTATATGCTTTGACTCGAATGCCCTCTACTCCCTACCCACTACTTTTTTGAAAGGTTTATGATACAAGTGATGTGGTGTGTTCTAGTCACTGGCCTGATTATTGCTTTATTTAGAATACCACAAAGGACAAGTCTACGTGTTGGCATTGTATTGGACGACTGCTGTTGATATATCATGCAGATGATAGCTTTGCCCTTGAAAGCATGTACAATATTCGTGATGATCATTCAATTGATTGACAGTTTTCCTCTGAAAATTACACTGGTCTTATTCCAGTCTAGCCTTTTTTGCTCCAATTTCTCTCTCCTGAAAAAACAAGATATGAGGGATTAAGCAGATTAAGATGTGGTTCAATATTAGATTGGATTCAAAACTTTATTTGTATTTGATAAAATTGTCAAACTGCATGACTGCAGCACCTCATCTTGGTCTAGGGAAGGCATGACAGGGTATTTGAGTATTGACCCTTTTTTCGGTCAAGTAGGTGAAAAAGTGCCCTCAATATGAGTATGCTAGAAATTACCACTCCAGCAAGCTAACTATTAAGTTATAATGGTTGAAAAATGGCCTGCTATTTTCGTTACACAGACGGTCAAGCGTTTATACTACATTGTACAGAACCTGAATTTTTACACTTGCAGAACTATGGAGTGAGAGCATTTCTTCCCCGATTCCACCACGTCTGCATCAAATAAAGTTACCGAGTAATAAATAATGTAATTCTACATTAAATGTTAGGACGTTCATCTTATACTACACATGTATAGTTGAAAACTCCTCCCTGCGACGCTGACCACAGGTCTGGGTGTTACACTGAAATATCTTGTGTTGTGATTAACTGCTTATACCAGGATAAAAATGCAAGATAAAAAGTAAACAAACTACTTTTCTTCAATAATAACAGTGGAACAGTATTTATTCTTATGAAGGGTCAACTGCCAAACACAACTGACCATGAGAAATGAGCAAATTTGACAAATGACAAAGATAATCAACGTGCAGATGCAAGTCACATCACATTGTCTCTATGTAAAGCTTGAATGAGATTGGTTAAAGCATAGCTGTGGATGAATGGACAGATACTCGGATATAACCCAAAATAATAGTTTGAACTGGGACTAAAAAGCACCCCAGCTAGACAGCTGATCATAACTGGTTTATTTTGCATGGTTCTCAAAATGAATTGATTATTAAAAACAAAAATCTCACCGTTCCATATTGGTAATAATGTGGTGCCAGTTCATATAACCATGATGCATCTATCACCATGATATCTCGCATATAATCTTTATTTGTCTGCAGAATTTCATTAAAAATAACCCTGTGTAAATGAACACAGTTCATTAGACACTGAAGCTTTTGACATGGTGTTAAGTACAGTTGACAAATAAATTTGTAGATTAATTAATGAAAAATGAATGGTCAAGCATGGTGTTGGTATACATGTCCTGCAGTGAGATCAAACACATAATTTTCTCTGCCAACTTAAATACAAATATTGTAACTAGTACTGTAAAATCTGTATTAGAAGCCGCAGCTTCTATAAAAATGTTACGAAGCAGTAGAGGGGATGCAGCTTCTATAAAATATGAGACACATATGAGAAATTGTGATTTTTTTGTTCTCAATTGTTCAAAATGAATGGGTACAACTTCCATTAGGGATGGGGCTCCTAATACAGATTTTACAATATTTTTGAGCATATTTTAATATTACATCTTAATGTTTACTGTGGAGTATGAATTAATATAAAAAAAGGTTGTTTTGACAGAAAACTAGTGTTTGAAATTACTGCCCAACAATATGCCAGAGGAGTAACTATCCAGTGAGGCTGATAAAAATTAAAATTTACATGTCCAGTGGTATGACAATTTTTTTTTCATGTCTGCTTCTATCAAAATTGTGGAAATACGATTTTACTGTAAAATACTATATTTTAGCTGGAATTAATATTCGCTGAAAAGACATTTTGTCTATTTTCACAGATTTTGTTATTATGAGTCAAGTGTAAAACATATTTTCACTGATTCTTCCCTTCAGTGAAAATTCTTGTACATCCATGTACTTTCTGAAAGATGACATGGCATAAATATTGGTTGGGTGGGGATTATTTTTTTTTGGAAAACTAAATTTAAAATATGTTTTTTTTTTTTCTTTCTGAAACCAGGTTGAAAAAGTACTGTTTATTGTGCTTTCCAATCTGATGAATTGTAAGTACAAAGTGTATTTTTTCATATATTTTATTTTATTTTGACTCTATCAAAACTTTAAAAACACTAACAGCAAGTAAATAATTAAATTCATACTTGAAAAAAAATTAAAAAATATATATATAAAAAAAAACCTAACTGTTTTTATAATCAGATTGTTGTGTATTCAATGCTCCCAAAAGTACCAGGATGTACGACCTACAGAGGTCATGTAGAAGGCTTACCATTTGGGTGGTTTTTCCACATACAACACTGATGTAGGGTGAATGTACAATGTGTAATTATCTCTAATAGTCCTGTATGAACCACTTGGATGCAATTTAGCGGCATTAGAAAAGAATCCCGCTACAATACACCGACATATGACATCAACATCGCCTTCGCTGTTCAACATTTTAACTTTGAATTTCTTGGCAATCTTTTTCAGTTGGTCTCGGATTGACGTTGCTCTGCAAAGTCCTGATAATAAGAGTAAGGTTTAGCTATTAGCTCACTACAATAAAGACACTAGAGAACACTGAAACAGGCAATTTCAATACTTTTAGCTTCAGGTCGTGCCCTGAAACAAAATTTAGCCGGATGAGCCAATTGTCCCAATTGGAGTTGTTGGTTTTGGCAGATTTCCATCAACCAAACCATGGTCCCTCAGTGATAGAGGGACTGTGACCATGCTAATACACACAAGCAAGTTATCATAGATATCTTTACCAAATTGTTCATTTGTTCCATAGCAACCATATAATATGCCTATAAGTGACCATTTCAGAGTTTTTGACATTATTTTGCTCATATCTGTTGTATGGTCCATCAATTTTCTTGAATAATTTATTATATGTGTTCCTAGCAACCACATAGAATATAACATTTCTACAAAACTTCAACTTGCTCGTTGGTAGAGCTCCTAAGGTCCTATCCACTTTACCAACATACCAGTAATTCAGAACATACATCTATTGTTTTGAATGCTATATTGTGGGTGTATTCATAATTTGGCCTTATATCACTTGCACTTTATATGTAGCAAAACAAATTAAAATTCATGAATATCAGCTGGAGTATGTTAATTATGTCAATAGATCGACCAACCACTATCCACTGATGATGCTTGACAAATGACTTGGCCACATGAACTTGATAAATTGATTGGTGTGAGAAAAAATAGGTTTGTAATGATAACTCATGGGGACTGTGTTATCCATTATAGTTACTTGTCTACATGTCTTTTATGTATTCTCTTGGGATTTATATCTAGCTTTGAAACAAAGTATTTTTTTTTTTTTTTTATAATGTTTTTGTGCCAGGCGACAGTTCCGGACATTGAATGTCGCTGTTGTCTCTCCTGACTTTTTTTCTTCAAAATGTAAGTGCAAATGCTAGTGCTGACACATAGTGCATTTTGCCACAGAAGTGGTTTCCTGTTTGGGACTACATGACAGGGCTGTGTGGCCATCTCCCTATCAAATGGCAATTTTAATGCGCTATCCTGGCGTCAACCAGGCTCGGCCGAACACAAGCACCTACGGACCTTAACCTAGGTTCCTCCAAAGTCACATTCGTTAGTGAATGACTCTTGGCCAGTGGAATTGGCCTTCCCATTGAGTCTGTGGTACACTCACCCAGGGTAGGGGTCGACCCTTTTGATGTTCAGCCTAAGGTAGGATTTTAACTTTGGTCTACCGATCATGAATCTGATGTGACAACCACTATGAAACAAAGTATTAAATTGTCAATTATTTTTGTTTATGGATGGATGGATGAATGCCAACACCAAACTTTGATCAACAGCAATTCTTATCTTTTGAACAACAATCAACTTTCAAAGCTTGGAAATAAACAACTGGAATTTATTGACCAGACTCATAATAATTTAACGATTGACGTACACTTCATAACTATCATATAATTCAATATTTCTTTCTCACCTCTGTAGTTTAGGTAATGTTCATGACACCATCGAGAGCTTTTTCCACACTGAAATATACAAATAGATTTTTACAAAACAAACAACCGATATACCTGCCTGAGAAAACAATAACATTTTGCTGTCTATACTGACATGTTTGAATATGGAATTTCATACTGACTCCATTTTAGAAAACGATGTGCTGCATGTTGATGATCATAATGATCATTGATTTCTCATTTCAACTAATACCTTTTACCACAATAATTTTACGCTGTATTTTGTGTACCATTGATGCCCAAGACAGAGGTAATATTGTGATTGGTATGAAATCTATTGTCATGGAAACCAGACAAACTGTGTAACCTATTCAACGTTACCTTTATATATGCCTCGTACACATTCAAGAGTGTTATATGATCACCTTCGGCCACAGAAAACTTCCTTTTGGCTTTCTCCTGAAAAATAAAATGTGATCAGAGCTATTTATACAAGAATTTAAAACATGATAATTCCCCTAAAAGATACCAAACAATATATGTTTACAAACTGAGAAACATTACTCGTCATGTGACCTAATTATTGGCATTCTTTTAACTTTTGTACTTTTGTTTAATTCATGTAAGTAGCACTTCATCATTAGAAACAGATTTTCTATGGTGAGATACAAACCCAGCAAAAGATTGAACAAAAGTAAATGAATGTTATTAAAAAGATGACTGTTGCTTGATATTTGGGGAATTTTCTATTATTGATATTAGAGTGCCACTGTCGTCACACGATATTGTGTTCACACATTTTTTCTCAAAAACCAAATGCATGCATATAACCGTGGCACAATTAAAGGTGTTTTCAAACTCACGGCTGCTGCCTTCTGGTTTGACGGTGATAAGAATATATTCTGTACTTGTAACATTGCAATAATTGTAAGTATTTCTTCTGAGCAGCCAAATGTACCTGTAAGAATATTGTACAACAACTTTTAATATATGCAAGAAATGTTGACCTTGATGTTGTTTGTCCTAATTTAACCTTGAATAAAGCAGAAATATCATATTTTTTTGTTTCAAAAGTTATAGATTTAGGCAGGAGTCATCCACTTCTAGGATTTTTTTTCTCAATATGGAATATTTTTTCTAGAGAGAAACTGTCTGAAAACATACAAAAATAAATTCTTTAGGGAATATTTGTCTTAAATCATTATTGTAAAAATATAGTATCCATCACAATTTCCAAATAATTCAGGACAAGAACATTTTATAACTTTATATATATACCTTGTATAACAAAGTTATCACAAAACATTTTTACCATTTTTATGTGTGTGTTTTTTTGTAAAAAGTGGTACTTTTTGCATAAAATAAAGCCATATGTTAAAAGTCAAGGAAATTTTGTAATTAAGCACATTGCCTGCTGACTCATTGTTTCTCTCTGAATATCATCTGGAATTGGTTAAGTGACCAGAGAATCTTCACTATAATATTAGGCTTATCTCAAAGCATGCATCAGTTAAAAATGCGCTTTTGTTTAAGGTTTTTGTCAGAATGTTTGAAAAAAAAAGAAAAATTTAACTTTTGCAACTAAAAATAATTACACTTGGTTTGAAAAAGAGCATTGATATGAGCATTGATATGAGCATTGATATGAGAGTCATAACTTGACTTCTGCATATTATAAACTTCGAATAACAACAACCACAATTTTAACTGAACTAACCGGAAGTAAGAAGTGTCTTGGCAAACATTGGATCGAGTGGAAACTCTGCCATTCTCACACCGAGTGGTTCCGTTAGCTTGGCATTATCGTTGATGGCCCCCAATGCATAGAGCAGTTCTAAGCCACGTATCATGGCTTTAGACGATGGGGGAGAGAGAAAATTAAACCTCAATACGTTGTCTATACCAAGGCATTTGAGTTGTAAGATAACTGTTGCTAAGTTGGTCCTATAACAAATCAAATGTTGAGTAGATACAAACATGATGAATAGTACATTTTTATAAGAATATGAGAACATTTTAAGATCTGATTGTTAATTAATGTTCCAGCCAGACATATTTAATATGTACATTAAGGCAAATTAAAGAATGGTTGTCATTATAAAAATATTGACCACATGTTGCTGTAGTGACAACGTTCTATGATTGTGTAATATTCTGGTGCAGGGGACAAAAATACTGTAAAGGGGTTAATTATTCACTGGGTTTTAATTTGGCTTTTTTCGCTGACTGGAAAATGCGCTAAATTAAAACCCAGTGAATATGTAAAATTGAGCCTGGAACACATTATCCAAATTATAAAACCGTGAATTTTAAACCCACTAAATATGCCTGAAACACTAAATCAGTGAAATTTAAACCCAGTGAAAATTAGTCATTTTACAATAGTCAATGAACCAGTAGCAAAATTCACAGTTTCACGTACATTGAATATTAATTGTGATACAATTTTTACCAAATAAAATGAAATTTGACTACCGGTAAGAGCATATTTTCAAAATTAACAGTATCTTCTACCGCATAAATGCTTATCAAATTGTTAAGATACCAACGCGACTACTAAATAACGTTACTTCTTATTTGCTTTACCGTGTTGCCGGTCTTTCCCCGCCTATTGACACTGTTAATTACATTCAGTCTTTACTTGTGAATTTTTTATGGAACAGTCGGCATTGGGTTTCTGCGGAAATTTTGTATCTACCTTTGGAAAAGGGAGGTCAAAATGTTATCTATTCAGCAAAATTAAAGCTATGCGCATTAAATATGTTCACAAATATTTATATTCAGTATACAGACATCCTTGCTTCAAGTTCACGGATTATTATTTCAGCCAAGTAGGTAAACTCAAATACACATCACAGTTATTGTTAACCAGCATTGATATTTCATCTTTTCATGGACCTAACTTTTATTCTGATCTGTTGAAGTGTTGGAATTCTTTGGATATACGCCATAAGGTTAACACCGACAATGTTTCTGACGTTCTTTCAGAACCTATTTTTAAAAATCTTAGGCTTAACTTAGAGTTTGAGTACTGCCGTTTAACTAATCGGTTACATCCGTTTGATAACATTTGGGCTGTTGGGGGTGCACTATGCAATCGAGATGGAGAAGCACTCAATATCTGTATATAATCGGTTTTCACTCCCGCTTTGCAGAACATCTGGTTACGAACTTCATGGTGAGTCTGGCACCGAGCATCAAGTACGCTACGTAGGGTGGTACACGCATTTACATGCTGCCACGTTGATCTTATGATCCTACTTACTTTTAATTACATGTATTTAAAAGACCTTATAACAACACGTTTCCTTGTAGTCAGTTATTTACCCGTAGTGTGGTCCACGTAGTTTTTATACATTGTAGTGTGTTTTATTTCTGCTTAGGGATTGGTAGGGGGGATCGTAACCCCTTGTGGTGAGAACCAGAGAGTCTGGCCTACCTGCAGGATTCCTTTGTTTAACGTTCACGTTATTGTTTGTTAATTAAGTTGCGTTGTTGTTTTTGTCCGACTGCGATTGAAAAATCACTAAATGTGCCTTTGCATCTATGGTACTGTGGAGTTAGGCAACTTACCAAATTGTTAAGATACCAACGCTACTACTAAATGTACCTTTGTACCCTGGCACTGTGGAGTTAGGCAACTTATCAAATTGTGAAGATACCAACACTACTACTAAATGTACCTTTGTACTCTGGCACTGTGGAGTTAGGCAACTTATCAAATTGTTAAGATACCAACACTACTACTAAATGTACCTTTGCATCTCCGGCACTGTGGAGTTAGGCAACTTATCAAAGTCTTCTTCTGTATATAACCTATAGGCTTTACCAGATCTCACTCTACCAGCTCGCCCTGATCTTTGCTGAGCTGATGCTTGGGATACTGGCACCACAACAAGACCTTCAAGACCAGTGTTTGGATTGTACGCTCTCAGTTTCACAAACCCACAATCTATAACTAATAAACAAAAATTATTTCGGGCATTAAAACCCATTTCTAAAGAATGTATGTCAATGATCATAATACAGAAAACTCCACTGAACAGGTGTTCCCATTTGTGAGCAGGGTTAATTTAAGAATGGTACAGCAGTCTGCATCAAAGGTTGATAAAGTTAAGGGTGTGAAACCCAAGTGATTACTATTGAAGATCTCTTTGAAATCCACGGATAAGTTTAATAAATCTAGATATCATTGTTTGTTCAGAATTGTTGTTCGTCTGACAGAGACAGGCAAACTGATGGACATACACAACATGTTACATAATGACCAAGTATAACATACCGTGTACAATACCACTAATGGTAATAGAAGCTTCAGCTATGTTGGTTGCTATGACAACCTTCCTGGTATTCTTCGATGTCCTCTCAAACACCCTCATTTGTTCAGATGCTGGCAAGCCACCATACATCGGCAATACTTTCATCTTCAACTGTTTATCAGACATATGTCTGGCTTGTTCTCTGTCAAAACATGAATACCATTAGTATATTTATAGTAGTTTGTGATGTATTAGTATTATACATGTGTAAAGCTTAAATTACTAAACTTTAAATAGACACTGGGCAATTCTGTAATGTACCATACACTGCACACTATTACGGTAACCCACTCTTCATCACCACATAAAAAAACGGAATGTAGTAAGGCTTGCACATCAACATTTTTGCATTATATTGTTTATTTGATAAAAATAGTACACCCAATCTACGATAAAAAATTAATTGCAAAAGACGTTTTTCCAGTTGTAATCTATTTGTAAATACACAAATATGAAAATTTAATGGGGTGGTTTAAACAAGGACAACTACCTTATATACTTGTAACATATTTCTTCTATTAAATTTGAAAGCCAACTGTTTAGTCAAAACCCATTGAAGCAGTTAGCCAATTCGCTAGCGAGTTGGAAATTGGCTGCCCCAATACTTCTGAGACTTGCTGTAAATGTTAAATGATGTTAGAAAAGCACTCAAGACTAAAAGATTTTTATTGTCGTATTGTTTCATGCCACTAAGTTCTACATTAATGAATAGGTGGTTATACTCACATTACAAGTGACACCACATTTTCAACTTCATCTTGTCCCGTCAAAAATGCTAATATATCGCCAGTTGGTTCAGTTTTGTGTATTTTCACGATAGTATTTACTGTTTCCTTGATGAAATCTGGCACAGGACTGGGAACAAGGAAAATCAACAGTTTTGAAACAAGTATGGTTTTGCTGGAGATTGCTGGAGTATTTGTGTAATAGTGCCCTCTAGAGTTTAATACCTCAATGTTCTTAACTTTTGTTTTTTTGAGGTCAATGGGGTGAACTTGGCATGATAATTTTATTATATTTATGAAAATAGAAAACATATTTATTTTCACTAATTTTTGCACAGCATTCCAGATATTGATAAATGTATTTTGTAATTTACTCTTCTGACTAAAATGAAAAAAATTAATATCCTGTAAAATACTTTATTTTTGCTGGAATAAATTTTTGCTTAAAATGCTTTTTTTGGGTGTTTTGTATGGAATTTATTTTCACTGATTTTTGATGAGTTGAATGTGAAATATAGTTGAAAAGGTATATACGATGGATTTTATTTTCACTGAATCATCCCTTCAGCGAAAATAGCAAAAAAATAAAGTATTTTACAGTACATCTACATTACTAGAAGTGAGACTACAATGTAGCAGAGTAAATTGAATTAACATTATACAACGCATCTTCACAAAGAATTGTACATTAAACCTTATAGACTGTAGATTAATATTTATGTTTGCATGTTGTTACCTTATAGTATAATATATATCCACTGGGTATGTTCTTCCCTCTACTGATATAATGGTTGAAGTGTCTTTGCTTTATTATGAAATTAGAAAAAAAATATATTAGAACACTCACACACTCACAACAATCTATTGTGATTGAGCTCTGTTTAAGCAAGTAGCAAAGTTCCTGACACAAGACTGCACAAGAACATTTAGAATACCATGTTTTCTCAATCAGTCGCATAATCGCTTCACGTGAATGACAGAAAATATGAAACATGAAGAATGACATCTTTATGTGAATAAATCATTCATAGATTGAGTAAAATAAGTTGATGTAGATTTTGACTCTTTGGTAAGTGCATAGTGTCTACTCCCAGTCACGATGCACTAATGCGGTAATGGGCTAATGTCTCAGCTCATCGAATATGCAATGAATATGGAATCAGAATAATCATTTCAAACAACATCTTAGTTAAATTTAGCCTGAAGAAAGTGAATAGTACACAGGCAAAAATTGAGCACATTGTCAAGTCTGAGGATACAATTCTCAATCACTGAAATGTTTTCCGAAACTTTTCATGACCTAGCAAACAAATTTTGGATTTTTTTAGACATTTTCAAGGCCTAAAAATTGATAAGACTACCTAATATTAAAGACTTCCACAGAAACCATGTTGAAATCTCAAGCCTTTGTGTTTTGAAAAATGCAATGGCTATGTTTAATGAACGTGTCTTGTTACATGCTACATAAGACTTTGTGAAATTTTTTGTTTTAATCTAACTTTATTTTTTACCTTTTATCATTTGTTTCATTATTGTTAAAAAAGTCTTTGAATGCTTCAGCATCAAGAGTTGCTGATGAGATTATTAGCCTCAAGTCTGGTCTTTTCTTCTGTATTTTTTTCAGCAATCCTACTATGATGTCGGTATAAAGGGTCCGTTCATGTGCTTCGTCAATCATTATTACGCTGTAAACACAATATAATCAAGGGATAGAAAAATAGATACAGGCAAGCAACGGCAACATGCACCAAAAATCTCAATGAAATTATGTAACAAAATGGCCACTAGTCGGCCAATAGTTCTGTATTAAAAACAAATCAAAGAAAGCTTAGAAAGAACTCCTGTGTGCTGAAGGTATTGGAGGTAAATAAGGAATACTGTATTTACTACCATCTATATTTACATAGCAGATGTTCTTCTAATAGAGCAAATACAGCATTCAAAAATGAAATTATTATGCACTGGACTTCAACCCAAAACTGATCAGGTATGTGCAATATCCCAGGGCATACATGTACTAAGTTTTATTGAAATCTGTTGAATAGTACATGAGAAACAAGCTAAAATGTTTATATTTGGCTAATTATATTATGCAAATTAGGTAATTATTATGCATGTATATAAACCCAAGACATTAGATTACATTAGATTGTTGCAATGTCTTATGAGTATTTATATACCAAGACTCATTGAAATAATATGAGTACTTGAGATATTGATGGAAAAGCTGAAAACTGACTAATTATTGTGCAAATCAGGTAATTAATATTCACAGATTTTAATGTAAACTAATCAAGTCTGTGAATATCCTAGAGCATCAATGTACCCCAAGTTTCATTGAAATGTAATTATTAGTACTATAAATATCAGCAGAACTTATCAGGTCTGTGCATTGTCCTATGACATTTATGTACCAGGCTTCATTGTAATGTGATGATTAGTACTTGAGATATTAGTGGATAAGCCGATATATTGACTAATGATTATGCAAATCAGGTAATTAATAGGTACAGATTTTTCACCCAAAACTAATAAGGTCTGCACATAGTCACAGAGCATTCAGATACAAAGTTTCATCAAAATCTAATGAGTGGTTCTTTAGATATCAGTGGAACAGTTTGGGAATAGCTAGAGCATCTATGCATCAAGTTTCATCAAAAACCAATACACTGTATATGGTTCTTGAGATATCAGTGGAATAGATCGACACACACACCTACATACATACATATACAGACACACTAACTGCAAAGACTCCCACTGTGTGCTTTGCAGTTAGAAGTCAAAACAAGTTCAAAATCTATATTTTTAGAACCTTCATTCAACCATCAATGTGAATACATGTGACCTGAGTTATATGTGAAGTTTGCGAATAAAAAAATACCTATATTTTGTTAACAACGGATCACTCATCATTTCCCTGACCAGCACACCATCTGTTAGAAACTTGATTCTGGTCGTAGTGGCATCGGTACAGTCGTCAAAACGAATGTTATAACCGACCTCATTACCAATGATAGAGCCTCGTTCTTCAGCTACTCTGTTAGCTACCTGACACAGAAATGAAATGCAACACCAATAAGTTGCCGATTGTAATAACTATTAAAAGAACTTGAAGGTGATTCCTCCATACCATGGAGAGCTATGGGCAGATCAAGACATGTTTATTAATTAAATTGGTGTTCAGTTGTTTCATCCCAAACCAGTTTGCTCCAATGCACTTTCATTCAGATAAAAATAATAATAATAATGTTTATTCAACCTTTGTATCGGCACCATGAAAACAGTAATACCTCCGGTACATATCTTTAAATTACATTCATCAGTTCTTTTCTATAATGCCATAAATCAGTTACATATTTCCTGATTAAAGCTGATGAGGTATTTCCCACATTTTCATTTATGTTCCATAGTGTATCACCAAAAAGGAAATTGAACCTATAATTCAACCCCCCTGAAAGAAAACTATTCATTAGTGATGAAGATTCAACATTGTTTCTCAGTGAAGTTTCTAATGCTAAATAAAATTCCTTTCTAATATGATTAGATGACCTACAATGATAAAGAAAGTGGTAATCATGTATCTATTTTTTAATTCACATGTCTGCCGAAAAAGTTTTGTCCATCCCCAACTCGCCAAAATCAGGAAGATGCGTTTGTTTGGGTTATTAGCATTAGAGTGTAATAAAGTTGGTGGCTTGGTCTGTAACTTATTTAACCTATGCAGACTCAATCTAAGAGTTTGTCTATGTATGCAAGTCATTTGCTCAGGCATGCATCTTCTATTGTTATTGAATTTAAGAGACAAAATGACATTATGGTACAATGTTTTGAAAAAAATGTGCACACCTTTATGTGCAATCTCCCTTGTCTGAACAAATAGATAGTTATTTTTTCTTTGTAGTAAGAATGTAAGTTTCATGATACAACACACTGAAATAACATTAAATTGAATTGAATTGAATTGAATTGAATTGAATTGAATTGAATTGAATTGAATTGAAGCTTACAGTGACTGCAGCTACTCTTCTGGGTTGTGTAATGGCTACAATGTGCCCTTCAGCTGTCCATCCAGCCTCTGCTAAAAACTGTGGTATTTGAGTGCTTTTACCACATCCAGTCTCTCCAACTATCACCACAGTCTCATATTTCTCCACTAGATACAGTATATGATTGCGATGCTATTAAAACAGGAGATAACATGGTGAGTACCGGTACATTACAGGTAGTTAGTGATTTAATCTATCAATCAATTAATTGGCATTTCCAATACTTTATAATACTTTATTTTAGCCGGAATTAATTTTCGCTGAAAAGTCTTTTTGGTTGTTTTGTATGGAATTTATTTTCACTGATTTTTGGCAAGTTGAATGTAAAACATAGAAAAAATAGTATATTCGCTGGATTTTATTTTCACTGAATCACTCCTTCAGCGAAAATAAAGTATTTAACAGTATATCGTATTTGCTAGCTGTATGTACTAATGTAAATGATAGAAGCAAATCTGGGGTCAAAATAAGATATATTATTCAGCATAGAATAATTAGAGATGCATGTGCTTTTCATGGAAAAAATAAGATATTCAAAATTCCTTGAATAATATATTTATAGGTTTGTCATCAAGTAAAAATTCTGCAGGTAATGCTTTTAATTATTGACAAGTATTGGCATGTGCAGCAGCCATTCTACTAGTGAGCACTGTCACACAATCATATCTAAATCAAATTAAAAATACACGTTCTGTGATGTAAATCCACTCCACTCCCAGGAATAACATGTATTTGAAGTACCCCGGTAACATCAAACTTGTGATCTCAAATGCACTAAACAGATACCTTGAATATTGGTAATCTTTGTCTTTGCTGTTCAATAGATATTGACACATGTGGATTGTACACCACTACCTCTCCACTTCCCTCACTTATTCGTTCTCTTTCCTCATGGAGACCAGTTCCAGGAGCGTCAGTTCCTTTATTGAGTTATGAAATGAATCAAACAGTTTTATATTGGAACACACAAGTCTGTAGTGCACAAACTCATCGTGAACATAGTCTCCCACAAACCTCTGCTTCATTTTACTGTTGCATATTAGACCCAAAAAAAATAAATAGATTTGATTGGATGCATACCTTATCATGTACTATGTGATATGATTTATTTCTATGTTAACTTGCTTACTTTGCAAGGCTAGTATATTGTACATCATGTAATCCAAATTACTGCATGTTCTTTGCAATGTCACAGAACGCCATATACACTAGTTAAGTGAAAAGTGAAAAACAACCTGAGCAGACAGTTAATAGCGATGCTGAGAAGAACTCCAAATTCATTGCTCCCTTTACAGTAAGATTATATGAATTAAAGCATGAATATTTTTTTCGCCAGCCACTCATGCATCATTCAAATCCAAACAAATTACTACCATCAAGCACATGGAATATATTTCCTATACAAACGGTAGGTATCAGCTGAGCTGTTGTCATTGGACGAATTGTTTTAGCAGTGATTTGAAAATTATAATTATATTTATAAATATTTTATATAAAAAATATTCATGCCAATACAGTCTTTAAATTATCCATTTTTGGTTACTTTTCCAATTATTATTATGGATTTATAAGATAATTGCAAATGATATGACATGCGCTGATCCCAGTATGAATTGAGTCATGCGACTGGACATCACACATTTCCCAGTTGAGTGCAGAATCCGTGTGCACCATACAATACAATACAATAAAACTTTATTATCACCGTAAAGAAATTACAACCTTTTTTGGGCTCTTAATAATAAAGTTAAATTAATAAACATGAACACAAATTAATTATAGTATCAAAAAAACAAAGAAAGTTACTAAATGCTTCTTTTCAAGTTTGCATTATTAATGTATTGGATTAGTGTTTTCAGTAAATGTATATCTGATGCGTTGATGATTGTCTTGAATTTTTCTGTTATGTCCATCTCATGTAAATTAGT